CCCTCTCCTTCTATTAACTCTTTCTTGTCTTCTTTGCCACTTTTACTGTTAACCTGTTGTTTCTTTCCGTTGTCTTTTATTTTTATTTCTGCGGACGGCTCACTTCTACCTTCTAACCCTTCACAGAGAGAGAGAGAGAGAGAGAGAGAGAGAGAGAGAGAGAGAATGGCAAATACTAATATATAGCATGAAAACACAGATATTGTGGTTGGTTGGTAAGAAATTCAGTGGGTATTTAACCGTGGGGTGGTAGCCTATTTATTCCAAGCGTGTGGTGTAAAAAGGATGTACTGTAAGAACCTCCCTTATGGATGACTACAGGCTGAAGAAACACCTACTCACCAAAATCTACTTGACTAATTTGGCTATATTTCGCTCCCATGTTCCTTGCTGAATAAATTAAATTATACTCCTACCTTCTACTGTTCCCCCCAACCCAGAAAAAACTGTTTCAGGAACAAGCAACAGTGTAACGTGGGAGTTGGGGAGCAGTCATAGAGCGAAGTGAATCACACTCTTGACTATTACATGCTGCCCCTTATTTCCATTTTTTACCTTGGCAATAATTTTTTCCCATTGTGGTTTGTTGCTTAAGAGATCAAGAAATTGTCCCCAGATTTTGAAAATTTGAATTTATCCAGTTGAATAATGAAATTAGTAGGAGCAGAGTAGAACATTCCTGGACTCTTCTAAATCATCTGAGACAATCTGCAATATTACTGGTGATGCTCTGGGCAACAGGATATACTTTTTTTTTTTTTTGAGAATGGAAATCCATGAAATATACATCTTGGGCCTCCATGTTAATCCTAGGGCACAAATTTCCTGGGGTAGTAGAACAGTCAAAATATATGTACTTGTTGATTTCCCCCTCGCCAATCCAGGAAATCTAAGTAGATACAATACTTGTGAGATTGTATATTATAGTTGCACATACAGTAGTTTCCTACTATAGTAAACCTGCGTGGGGCAGAAGAAAGTTGTTTGCAGTTAGTGAAGGTATAAAAGTATAAATATAACTGAGAGCAAATAGCCAGTTTAAGGAGGGAAAACAATGCCTGTTAAGCATCACTAAAAGGGAAGAAACTCCACTGAAGAGGATGAGACTTTTTAATGTAACCGTATAACCTGCTTATGCTGTAGAGATGGTACTGAATTAATTTGGTCCCTAACGATGAAAGGAATGATGTACCCTTTTCCTAGCCCATTGGACTGGCTGGGCCACTTACCTTTCATTGTGTGCCACTGGAGGAGGCAGGACGGGGATTCTCCCCACGCAACCTATGAGTGTGTTCAGCTGCTGGGCGAGGTGGGGACAGGCAGCTGCCCAGATTCAAACACCACCAGAGATGAAGGACCCCCACGAAAGGTAAGTGGCCCAGTTGGTCCAGGGGTTGGAAAAGGGTGTGGTCCCCTCTCTACTCTAGATTTAAGTCTGAATACATTTTGTTAAAAGTATATTTAAGACATTTTAGAGATGTGATAGCTGAGATATTTTTCTAATTTAGGAGGGTATCTTTTTAGAACATCAAAAACATATTTAACGCTTTGCAATACTTTAGTTTTTTTCAATGATCATATTCAGTTTGGTTACAACCTTCATACTTTTGACTTTCATATATTCACTTTTTTGGTTTTTATAATTTCAGTTTATTAAATTGAAGATTTTAAGTTTTTTTTCTTTCATTTTTAAAATCCTGAACATTTTATTCACACAAACGTCCATAGATTCTCTTAGATTTGCTCATGTGTGTGTGAGAAATAAAATGAACAAAATTATAAATCTTTCAGACATTCAGTTTGTTTCACTTAGTGCTAAAAAATATGTAAAGGACATCCAGAAGAAGGAACAGAATTATAAAGAACTCAAAGGAAACAAAAGGCTCTCTGAGCCACATTGGGGATTACTTTTTTGAAATTGATTCCAGCGGTGAGAGCACAGGGTTCTGATTTTTCCCTGCAGGTGCCTAATTTTCGAGGACATTCAGGGAGTTCAGGCTCCATTTCATTGGGATGATAAGCTGGAAATACCGTAAATGGCCCTCACATGGTTGATGAGCACACATTCTCATTTAAAACTTCAATTTAAAAATGGGGCAGGAATCATACGATGAATGGGCAGTATGTGTCACCCAAAAACTATTTTAGGAAGGAAAAAACCCTAAGTTTTATGTTCTGGGAAAAAAAGACTATATCAGACATACAATATATGGAGGAGCTGGTGGAGGCCTATATGGTCCTGGGAGGAGAAAAGAACCAGACTGGCAAATCATCTGAATAAAACAAAGAGTATTAATCTTTAAAATGACTAACTTGCCTTAGTATATATATTTGAAATTCCTAAATCGCTTCACTGACTTCAAATGGGAACACTCTGAGGAATACAATCACCCATTAAAATAAAATGGTCCTTAGCACAGGGTGCCTCAAAAATCAGGGAAGCGTTTAACAGCCACTGGTCCCTAAGATTCCTACTAGATCCAGCCAATGCGTGGCTCTCCAGAACCAAATAATTTGAAAATAACTAGCATGGCCTACAGTAATAACTGGCTGCAAGAGAACTCTCTCCTTTCTAGGAGGAGGTGGTGACCGAGAAAAACCAGTCCGCTCCATGTGCATTATTTCTTAAAACAACTCTTAGGGACTTTATATGAAAATCCAGGGAAAGTAAGTAGTGGATTACATTTCCTGGAAATATAATGCCAGAATACATAAATCAGACCTGAAATGTCTCATCAGACAATCCAGACAGATGCCAGAAGGCATACTTTCCAAAGCCCAGTTTTTGGTCAAAATGCATTTCACCATTTTTGTCATTATTATTCAAAAGGAGAGTAGAATTAAAAACAATGGTGCAGTTAATACTGAAAAAGAAAATATCAACAACAATAGAATTAACCATATAGGTTTATAAAATATCTAGACAAAGCTAGCGAGTATAAAACATGCATTCAGATATAACTCGAGCACTGAGATCTTAATTTAGATCATAGCACCATGGCTGGTACCACATGTTTCACTTCCCTGCCCTGATGTAGGAGCTTCTGTACCACAAGGAGGATGCACAAGATGCCCTGGTCAATAAAAATAGCATTGTATATTCAAAGTGGCTGAAAAAAGGAAGGATTTGATGCTAACACAACTCTTCCTATTCTCTATCTTGGCTCAAGGTCAGGGCTTGGAAGGTGCAATACAGAAAGAAGCTAAGGCGGGGTGACTGGGGCTTTGACCCAGGATGATGTTTGAGGGGTTTCAGTCTGCCTTTTGGTATTTGCTGCTGCAAAGGTGTGAATTTACCCACCCGAATAATGGATTAGACTTGGTGGCATCATAGACCCCTTCCAACTTCACTATTTTATGATACCGTCCAGCGTCTTCTCCTCAGGCACAATACAATATAGCAGACTCAGTGCAGAACCCAAAGGGTCACTGTATGCTCAGAAACAGGCCTTCCTCCCAATTCCTCCATCCTCTCCCTGTGTATACTGATGCCATGAGGAGTGATGGTCACCAATATTAGTAGGTACAGCTCTGGTGCCTTCCCACAAAATTCTACAGTGCCCCCCTACCCATCTTATTCAGTCTAAGAAGGCCAGAACATCCTCTTATGAATTATTTCTTGACAGAACTCCCAGGAGTCCCTCAAAAGCAAACAAAGCATTTATTTTGTTTACTTTTGTCATTAGCATGGGTCACCATTTACGGTGAATGGTTGCTGCTTCACAACATGTGGAATCCTAACCATTAACTGAATGTGTTTTTTGTTACAAAGATTTTAAGGTTTTTTTTCCCTGTGTGGATTCTTTGATGGCCCACAAGATGTGAATTCTGAGCAAAACACTTCCCACACTCCCGACACTTGTACGGCTTCTCTCCAGTGTGCACTCTCTTATGTTTCACAAGGTGTGAGCTGTGAGCAAAACATTTTCCACACTCTTGGCACTTGTATGGTTTCTCTCCTGTGTGGACTCTCTTATGACTCACAAGCTGTGAGCTCCGGGCAAAACATTTCCCACACTCCTGGCATTTGTATGGTTTTTCTCCTGTGTGGACTTTCTTGTGGTTCACAAGAGATGAAAACTGAGCAAAACATTTTCCACACTCCTGGCATTTGTATGGTTTCTCCCCTGTGTGGACTCTCTTATGGCTCACAAGCACCGAATTCTGTGCAAAACATTTCCCACAAATCTGACATTTGTATGGTTTCTCTCCTGTATGGACTCTTTTATGACTCAAAAGCTTTGAACTGTGAGCAAAACATTTCCCACACTCCTGGCATTTATAAGGTTTCTCTCTTGTGTGGACTCTCTTATGGCTCACGAGCTGTGAATTCTGAGCAAAACAATTTCCACACTCTTCACACTGGTACGGTTTTTCTCCTGTGTGTACTCTCTTATGACTTACAAGCACTGAATTCTGAGCAAAACATTTTCCACACTCCTGGCATTTGTATGGTTTCTCTCCTGTGTGGACTCTCTTATGCTTCACGAACTGTGAACTGTGAGCAAAACATTTCCCACACTCCTGGCATGTGTATGGTTTCTCTCCTGTGTGGACTCTCTTATGCTTCACGAACTGTGAACTGTGAGCAAAACATTTCCCACATTCCTGGCATCGGTATGGTTGTTCTCCTGTGTGGACTCTCTTATGCTTCACAAACTGTGAACTGTGAGCAAAACATTTTCTACACTCTTGGCATTTGTATGGTTTCTCTCCTGTGTGGATTCTCTTATGACTTATAAGCTGTGAATTCTGAGCAAAAGATTTCCCACATTCGTGGCATTTGTATGGTTTCTCCCCTGTGTGGAATCTCTTATGACTCAGAAGCACTGAATTCTGAGCAAAGTATTTTCCACATTCCTGGCATTTGTACGGTTTCTCTCCTGTGTGGACCCTCTTATGACTCAGTAGGTTCGAATTCTGAGCAAAACATTTTGCACACTCCTGGCATTTGTACGGCTTCTCTCCTGTGTGGACTCTCTTATGTGTCCTCAGTAGTGAAGTGTGAAGAAAACATTTTCCACACTCCTGGCATTTGAATGGTTTCTCTCCTGTGTGGATTCTCTTATGTTTCACAAGCAGTGAACTGTGGGCAAAACATTTCTCACACTCCTGGCATTTGTATGATTTATCTCCTGTGTGGATTCTCTTATGTTTCACAAGCAGTGAACTGTGGGCAAAACATTTCCCACACTCCTGACATTTGTACAGTTTCACTCCTGCATGTACTTTCTTATGACTCAGAAGGTGAGAATTCTGAGCAAAACATTTACCACACTCCTGACATGTGTATGGTTTCTCACCGGTGTGGACCCTTTTATGCCTCAAAAGCCATGAACTGTAGGCAAAACATTTCTTGCACTCGTGGCATTTGTACAGTTCCTCTCCTGTGTGGATCCTCTTGTGGCTCACAAGCTGTGAGCTCTGAGCAAAACATTTCCCACATGTCTGACATGTGTATGTTTTCTTTCTTCTCTGGACCTTTCGATGGTACACAAAGTGTAAGTTACTATTGAGACGTTTCCCAGAAACCTCACTTAGAGACTCTTTCTTTCTTGTGTGGAAACTCTTGTGAAGCATGTGTGGCATCTTTATGGCAAATGGTTTTTCACACATGAGGCATCTGTAAGGATTCTCCTGGATACACCATTTGTCTTCTGTGTGGATTCTCTGGTGTTCCGGAAGCTTGAATTTGTGCCTAGAGCTTTTTCCACATTTGGGACATACATTTTTCTCCCTCCAGATATCTGCTGGGATGAAGGACAAATGCAGAAAAGATTAAACTAATGAAACAAACAGATCTACAAGAAAAAGGAACCTTTTTTGCAGAAGTGTATTCCAGTGTATGGAAAGAAATCTGTTAGTCTTATCTTTTAGAAAGATAGGTTGTCCTTTCTTTCACTTTAATTTTAGTTAAGAAAACCAATGGATACTGCATGTTTTTCTTCATGTAATACTGAACTGAAGAGACAAATCGAGCTACAGGGGGAAAAGGAAGGTTTTCTGAAGATGAGCATTTTGATGCTAGCCTTTTATAACATTTTTGTCCTTTTTCCTCCTTGATTACCATTAAATATACAGGCATATCTAAGAAATCCAAAAGAAATTGTATGCTTTCCTTCATAGGCACCTGGTATCTACATTACACTCTTTTCAGGTCCAGGCCTTTTCATTTCACATGTTATTTTCAGAACTGTATTAGGACCTTTAAACCTTTTCACTCCATAGTTTTATTTTAGCTGAATATGCTTCAAAATGGTTTCATTGTTCTTTTACGCAGGACCACCACAGGAAGACATTTGTCAGAGAGTACAGTACAGCAACAAGTTGGGGCAGAGAAAGGCTAGTATGGCTGTCAACTTTCATTGTACACTGAAACTCCTCTAAAATTAAGTGGTAAACAACAGATCAGATCATTCATAGGAATGACATGGAAATTGACCTGTTTGGTACGTTGCAGTGCCCTGGCACCTTCCACACTTGCCCAAACCCATTATTTTCCTGTTTGCTGACTAGGAATTGTGTGACCTGTAGTCTAGCATATCTAGAAACTTCCAGGCAGGGGGAAGGCTCCGCTAAAGCATGGAATTTAACAGCCTGTGCAATTACATTTTCTGACTGATTTCCTACATCTATTTTCTTCTCTCTCCTTATTAGACTTATTAGTGTTTGCTGATGATTAAGGACACACGTAAAAAATTTTTTTAAATGTTCCCAACTCTGAATCTCAAAATCTCTCTTAGTAGACTAAAAGCTAAATGTGACACAACACTGTTAAAAACCGGTGGGGAGGGGGATCAAAACAAAACTAAGCTATTATTACAAAAGTGTTCCAAAGTAACTCAGTACAGAGAACTATTATTTTAACTCATCACTTCCCATTTCTCCCAAATAAGCTAGTGAATGACTTTCTAAAGTCAGGCATCATAAGAATTCATGGGCTGTGTTGTGTTAGCTGGCCTTGCTGATGAATCTCCCAGTTTGGTGGCGGATATTTTGATTTCATTCCAGTCTTCCCCATTTTTCCAATTCTCTGGTGCAGAAGTGCACTGAAGCTTTGGGACTAGAAACTGAGTTGGGGAAAGGAGAGAGCAGTGAGGGTCAGGAGGAAGCCAAAGAAGGGCATCATACCTGTGTGCAGTTTAGAAATTTGTAATCTGAAGCCACTGGTTGTGGCTAAGATCAAGTGTAGTAGTATGGTTGGAATTTTATCTCTGGAGCTGCAGGAGAACAGCTTGCTTTGCCTTCTGTGTGGCCACCGAAACATTTACAGAGAGCTCTCACATCCCTTTTTGATCATTGCCTTTGCTGTGTCATCACACTGCTAACTATGATGATTTTGAGCAACTATGACCTTGAGGTGAAGAATTTGGAACGTTCAGAAAAAAGGGTTCACATGTTCATGAATCATCAGTGATCTCAAAACATCTAATTTCTATCCATGTACAGGACAGATACTTTTTAGGTGTTAAGTGACCATTCAGTTGCTCATTAAAACTGAAACCATAGGAGTGTCAAACAGTCAATCAAACGAGGGTGGGTGATTCTAAAATGCTGTGTAACCAATGAAGCGTTTCTAATACATTTAAAACTTGTCTACTCTTTTGGTTAGTCTCAAAAATAGTATTACCCAGCTATAGCTTCTATTTCTCAGGAACTGACTACTATCAGGCGTACTCTGGTCCATGGGTTCACGAAGAGTCGAGCACGACTAAAAAACTAAACAACGACGACTACTATCAGAGAACATGACAGGTTTATGACTCAATAAGTTTGCATTTTTATGTTTCTGTCCTTTGTATTTCTGATCCATTTTCCAGGCAACAAGGGATGGGGGTAGTGAGAAGCAACATAGCATTCTCAATTTATCTCATAATACTTTAGCTGCTCTAACATGGGGACAGAAAGTGTTTCTCCTTTAGCCTGTACAGTACTTCTCATGGACAAATAAAGACAATGTATCATGAATAAGGATATAAAATTATATTGATTCTCATACTAAATCCAAATACAGCACCCGTCATTGGTAATCATCTTACTACACCATCACGCAATCATCAGATAGTTTAGTAACAATTAAACTGCCAGGACCAAAACTACATTGCCAGTTTAGACCTGCATCCCTCCAGAATCTTCTAGTGCAATCTGGGAACCATGATCTCTTCAGATGATGATGATGAACTGTTCTCAACCCAATTCCACATTAGCAAATTGCAATGGTGATGAGAGCAAGAGTTCAGGACATCTGGAGGGCCACAGGTAGCCTATTCTGGCACATAGTGGGTTGAAACACAATTCCAACTCAGAAACATTATTGTTGCCCTTATTGTAACAGTCATTATTGCTCATGTGACAAGAGCATTTAGCATCAACCAGGGAAAGAGTGGGCCTTACCAAGAGAAGATACAGTTTGCCAGTTCTCCTCCATAACTTCCTGGTGCAGGGCCTTCTGGCCAGGATCCAGCAGTGCCCACTCCTCCTGGGTGAAGTACACAGTCACATCCTCAAAGGTGATGGAACCCTAAATGGAAAAGAAAGAAGCCTTCCTCATGGATTTCATAAATATCACTTTATCAAGCGGAAAGAATAGTTAAAGAGAAGTGGCTGGATCACAGCATAATGAAATTGGAAGGTATAATGAAATTGGAAGGGGCCTACATGATCAAGTCCAAATCCCTGCTCAATTCAGGAGTACAAATCAAATGGTATTTACCAGGCCGTTGCCTAAGTTTCTCTTGAATGCCTCCAGCTTTGGAGCACTCACCAGCTCTTGAGGTCATTGTTTCCACTGCCGTAGTGCTCTAAAACAGAAAGCTTTTCTTGGTATTCAACCAGTATCTGGCTTCCTGTGACTTAACTGTTGTGTGTCCTGCACTCTGGGATGTTTCAGAACAGATCCTGCCCCCTCCTCTGAATGACAGCCTTTCAAGTAGCTGAAAAGTGCTATTATATCTCCCCTCAATCTTCTTTTCTCAAGGCTAAACAATCCCAGTTCTTTCAGTCTTTCCCCATAGGGCTTGGTTTCTAAATTCTTAACAATCCTTCTTGCCCTCCTCTGAACTTGTTCAAATCTGTTAGCATTCCTCTTGGAAGTGTGGTGTCATTGGCTGTGTGTCATCGTATTTCTGATCCATTTCTAAACCAGAACTGGTTTAGTAGATTTCAACTTTTATGAATGGCCGCCAAAGCCTTAGTATTGTAGGACAAATTTACCAAGGGCTACTATCACCATGGCCATGCCCTTGCTCCAGAAAGAGAGGCTGGGAAAGAACAGGGAGAAGGGGAAGGGCTACTGGTGGCCAGCTTTCTTTGAGAGCTTCCTGGAGAAACCTTGGGAAACCTTGGGAGAAACAGGATGCTAGATTAGATTGACCTTTTCTTCCTAGTACAGCTCCTCTTACACTCTTAGCTCTCCATCTCATTAAAAAGGAATGGCCAGACTAATTCAGGACAAAAATGGTTGGATACACAGGGATTCAAATGAATGACATGTCTTTTAACCATGTTTTCCATACCCAAAGAGAAAACAGCCAAGGTCAGGGAAACCTGAGTAGCACTGGCAATACAGGCAAAGGACTTGTATAATTTATTTAGGGACCTCTGAAGTATTTTTGGCATCAAAGTCTGAGTTGTTTAATCAATCCTCCACCCAAAGCACAGACACTCTGGAAATTACTGAGGAATATGAAGATGCTCTAATTACTAATGCTGAAGCCTCATGGACCCTGGAAAGAGTAAGGTCAGATTACTTTTCATGGGGCTCCTTAAGAGGCCCCTTGAGAGCATAGCTGCAATGGGAGTGTCTACTTACATCCCCCATTTATTTATTTATTAAATTTATACTCCGCCCAACTAAACCAAAGACCCCATGACCTGAAAGGCAAGGAGACAAAACTTTCTGGGCAGGAGCATTACTTTTCTTACTCTGAAGTGGTATTTCCCATTCCATCTTTACCAGCTTGTCAAAGGACACTAGGAAGGGAGCCTCTCTGCAAGATGCTTTTACCTCAGGGAACAAAAATTCTCAGGGACTAGGATTTATCAGAGGATTGCTGATATTAACCTCAGTGTGGCCAATGCCTTGTTTAACAGTAGGAGAAAATAATCAGACTAAATCATCTCTGGCAGGTTCTTCCTGCTGAGCAGAGGCTGACCACTCCGACCAGGCAGAGGGGGAAGACCACCTCTATATCTGGTGACGTATCGCCTACGTCCATATGAGAAGGAAATCGAGAAGCAGTTTCCACCTGATCAGACAGGGAAGAAGGTACAGTATTAGGGTAGACAGACAGGCCTGTTTCCTTTTTGTTTTGCTTTTTAAATGTGGTAATGTAACAGTAACTTCAGGAGAGCAAATATGACTTTTGAACTTTCCTAGGAGGAGGCTGACAGGGTTGCAATTTGCCCTCAATTGCCCCTAGCCACAACTTTCATCATTAACTAAAGAGAGGTATCTGAGCAGTGCTGGAGGCAAGCAAGGCTAGAAACAAGGCAGTACAAAATGGCTGCCACAAGGTGATTTCCCCCCACACACAAAATGGCCGCTTTCGCCAGCCTGCCTTATAAGCGACAGAGGCACCCTCTGGAGACGTTTGGTGAAGAAGCATCTGGAAATGGCAGGGCTTTGTGTTC